GGGGGGGGGGGGAGTCCATAGTCTGCCTCCCGGTTATCTTAGGATACGACTCCCATTGCAGGTCAGGGGATGATCAAGCCTAGTTCCTTCCTTCCGGTTCTCTTGGGGGAAGAAGAATTAAAGTGGCTATCAGTGCAGAATCTTGAGTATCCGTGGGCAAGTGTGTGTGTTTTATTTAAATTTCTAGCTAGACTGTGGGCCTGGTGTGACTTTCCTAAACTCCTGGCTTGGTCCATCCTTGAAGTCTGCAACTCAGAACCTGACCCCGTCTGTTTGGCCTTCTCCCTCCATTCCTTCTCCGCAGTCTTACCGATATTCAGTAAGTTGTTGTTATTTAGTTGTTAGTCGTGTCCGACTCTTTGTGACCCCATGGACCAGAGCACGCCAGGCCCTCCTGTCTTCGACTGCCTCCCGGAGTTGGGTCAAATTCATGTCGGTCGCTTTCGGTGACCCTGTCCAACCATCTCGTCCTCTGTTGCCCCCTTCTCCTCCTGCCTTCACACTTTCCCAACATCAGGGTCTTTTCCAGGGAGTCTTCTCATGAGACGGTCAAAGTATTGGATCCTCAGCTTCAGGATCTGTCCTTCCAGTGAGCAGTCAGGGTTGATTTCCTTCAAAATGGATAGGTTTGTTCTCCTTGCATTCCAGGGGACTCTCAAGAGCCTCCTCCAGCACCACAATTCAAAACCATCCATTCTTCAGCGGTCAGCCTTCTTTATGGTCCAGCTCTCACTTCCATACCTCACTACAGGAAAAACCATAGCTTTGACTATTCAGGCTTTTGTTGTCAAGGTGATATCTCTGCTTTTTAAGATGCTGTCGAGGTTTGTCATCCCTTTCCTCCCAAGAAGCAGGTGTCTTTTCATTTCATGGCCACGAAATTAAGTGCGTACTGTGTGTAAATCCCTGCACATGGAACAAGTCTCTTGTCAGTGTGTCAGACTTTCCCCCTGTTACCCAACTCTCAGATCACTCCCCCCCCCTTCCAAGTGTCCACAAGGCGCATGGTCTTCTTGCTTCAGTGGTTTTAAGTGAGAAAGCACTGCCCTTGTGGCAGAAGACTTCATCTGCGGCATCACCTGTTCAAAGAAAGGAGCCTCGTGGCGCAGGGGTTAAACTGCAGTCCTGCAGTGCAGAGTCTGCTCATGACCTGAGTTCGATCCTGGGCTCAGGTAGCCTGCTCACGGTTGACTCAGCCTTCTGAGGTTGGTAAATTGAGTTCCCAGCTCATTGGGGGAGGGGTGCATGTGTGCAGTGTGTAGCCTGCACACTTTTTGCTTTGCTTTCAGTTTGGTTGCACATATTGGGGAGGGGGGGGGAATACTCCTTCCGCCTAAGATCTATTAAGATTCAGGCTGGAGGGGTGGAGAAGTCGCCCGTCCAAGCATAAGAGGCAGCTTCTGCTGTTCCTAAAAGCGGCTTTGAGGGGACTCTTGAGTCTCTCTCTCCTCCACCCGACCCAACCCACATTCCTGGCAGGATGAAAACGAGGGCTGGCTGGGCTGGGCTTAGCCAGCAGGCTCTTTTTTCCCCTCCTTGCGCCAGCGGTTTGGAGGCCACTGGGTGTGGGCACCAGGGCTGGCAGCAGTGCATCGAAGTGACTGTGGCATCTCACTGCGCGCTGTGCCTTGGGGCCTCAGCTTCACTGTACCTTGCCTTGTGGCTTGCATACCACTCCTCTTGTACATATTAGGTGCCAGATCTTTTCCTACCATCACAGGGCTGCTTATTCGCTTCTTTTCACCTCCAGGCAAGTGAAGAACACTGCCCCGTTCCCGTTTGGCCACCCCTCTGTTGAAGCTTTCTTTTTAATTTTTTTAACCATGCTGTCGAAGATCGGAGATCCCAGGGATGGAACTGGGGGGGGGCTGACCTGTGCTGGGCAGAAGTTCTGCACCGAGGAGGACCAGCCCCTCGGACGGCCACCCATAGCAGGAGGCAGGATTTGCAGAGATGCTCTGTGGTTCCTGAGCTTTTGGAAGCCACCTCTCTAAATCCATGGGCACACGTGCAGTTCAATGCAATTTAGTACGGGGTGGGCTGCTTGGCAGGCCCAGGGACCACCTTTTGGACCAATAGCCACAACGTGGCCTGATAATGCCCCCCTCTAAAAAAGAAAGACACAGATGTGGTTTTTCACTTGGAGTCTGACAGTGGTCAAGGGACCCTATTGTGACCCTGCAGCAAAAAGCAAAGCAATGTTTTCGGCATGCACACACACAAAAAGAAAAGACGTATATTTTTTGTTGGGGGGCTCTGCAGAAACCCCCTTGGGTTTCTGGCCACCATTTGCCGTTCCCTCTGCAAGCAATAAGCCAGCTATCGGAGGCGTTAACGAGCGTTGCAGACTCGTGTCCCGAGCTGAACCTGGTCAAGTGCTTTCTCTGGCAAGGTGCGCGAGGAGGCGTGGCGCGTTTTCAAATGCTGTTCCGGAAACTATGCAGTGACTTTATTTCAGGGAAACTGCTGGGACTGGTGGAAGTGGAAGATGCAGGTTCACCGTCTGGTCCTGGGCATTTGATACCGTATGTCTGGGTGATTTGTGTTGGCTTTGCGTGCTTAGCAAGCTGGCTTCTTTCCTACACGAAATTCGCCCGGTCCCCTTTCCCCATTAAGTTGAGCGGAGCTTTTCCTGCAGTGGCATCGCAGCGAAGGGAGATGGTTCTTCTGCGCAAGAGGCTGGGTACAGTGTTCTGCAGAGGCAGCTGTTTCCGTGGCGCATCTCCCTCGATTCTTTCCTCCATCCGAGCGCCTTCAACCAGCCTTTTCTTCCTTCGGGATACAGATCTGGCTCACCAGATTTGCTCTTGTCCGGCCATAGGTCCAACAGAGGAGGTGCTAGTGCCCCCAAACCCTCCAGTCTAAAGGAAGGCCAGGGTGGGGGCCAGACTGGCCCCTTGCACTGTAAAAGCACAGTGTTTTTACTGCCAAGGAGCCCTATTCGGGTCCACCAGACCACCTGTTGTGTTGCAGCCTTAAGAGTCGTAAGCAGCTGTGCAAACTGGAAACCGGCCAAGTTACCTCTCTTCCAGTGACCCAGAATTCAGAGGCAGTGGACTTGAATAACCGGCTCAATCCTGTCCGCTCCACTGGGCTGAGTCAGCCGGCCCCGGTGCTGAAGCAGGAAGCACGCTCCACAATGCTGAGGCATGTTAAGTGATCGAAAGGCGGCCGGCCGGCACCTCGAGCAGAGGAGCGCTCGGATGGCTCACTAAGTGCAGATCGCTTAGTCCTTTTGATGACTCAGCAATGCAGGCAGCCAGCAACACCGGGAACAAGGCCTCTTCAGCCGGCTGCCCTGCCCCGAACTTCTAGGTCCATAGCAATCAACACAACACTTACTTGGAACGGCAGGAACAAGCTGCCCATCCTATGGCCCCCATGAGCAAACTTAGGGACGGGGTCAAGCATCCGCGTCCCTGTGTGCAAATGTGTAAAGAGAATTTGTGTAAAAATAGCACAGGGGTCATCCTGGGTGTGAAGCCACCCTTTCAGCTTCGGACAGGTTGTGATGAACCCCATGAGGATCCGGAAACGTGTCCAGTGAAAGAACACCCACCTTCCTGACTGCAAAAAATGTTGCCTGGGGTGCACCGGGGCGGCGGGGGTGACGTTTGATGGTGGAGAAGCCCTTAGGCACCTAGAAATATCCAAGACTGTAAAATACTGGGAGGATGAAATGGCCATTCCTGAAATCCCAGTGGAAGCAGTGAATCAGGGGCACCAGAAGGATCAAGGGAGGGTGCCAAGCTTTCAGCTTCTGGATCTGTCCTGGTGGTATAATGAGAGAAAGCCGGGACCTCCTGTTTTCAGAACATCTTGGGGTAATGTGTTCTCAGTCTCATTGTTTGGGGGGCGGATCAAATCTTTGCACGAAATAGGTGTGCAAAATAGGTGGTGCATTCTTAAATAACAGGTGTTACGTCATTTGGGCCTTTGCAAAAATTCAACAAAATCAATCAGTCACTTGCAATAAATTTTGTATTGTTTATAAATCCATGAATGGCGTCAGAAAACAGCAGAAGAGCAGCCGGGTTGGACAGAGGAAAATGTAATACAGGCCTTGATGGGGAAAGGTTAGCCTGGCCAAAAATCTGTCTCTCCCCCCCCCATCCCCCACCCCAGTTTTCCTTGGACAGGCTGTTCCAGGCGTTGCTGCTGACGCTGCCTCCGCGCCTAAGTGTGTACACTTGAGCAGGAAGCGGCTTCGCTCAGCAGGGGAAAGGTGAACCCATCGCCAGGGGAGGTTTAGCCTGCCTGCCTGCCTGCCTCTGGCCTTGGCTCAAGAGAAGGCTTATGCCCCAACGGAGGCTTCAGGTTGCCGATCAGAGTTTGCCTTTCCCTCGTTTGCTTTCTGGCAGGTCGTCCTCCCTCTTCTCCCAAAGGGTTTCCGGCAGGCGCACGATGTGCCTGGTTTGTTGGAAATTGAAAACCCTTTATCGAGGCAATAACGGACCTGCATCAATGGCAGTCGGGTTTTGCCAGCTGCAGAAAGGGTTGGCGACGATTTAGCGGCCGGAAGGAGGTTAGGAGCACTTTGCACACATGAATTTGATTTCTTTGCCGCAATTATTCTTCTGGCAAACAAGTTGCGACTAGAGTAGGCCCTTGGACGCCATGGGACTTGGTAAGTCGACTCCTCCAGGCATTTCATTGATTCAGTGGACTTACTCTTTAGTTGTTCCCAACCTTTTTCCGGAGTAGCAGCCCCCTTATAATCGCCAAGTAACAAGTCACCCGAAACCCCACCACCACATTGACATTAAAAAAGCATTTTAATGGGGTAAAAATCATCCTTTGTCAGAAAATAGAGGCTTCTTCCTCACCCAGAAGGCCTGTTTCTTATCCACCCTAACTTTAATATCTGGCTCTTGAAAGGTGAAGGTCTGAGTTACTCAGTAAGGACTAAACCAGGTATAAGGCAGCCCACAATCTGTCAGAAAACACTGGGATTCCCCCAGGTTGGGAAATACTGCACCTGTCTAAGCAACACGAGGACTCCAGCCTTTGCTTTCTAAGTGACTCGGGCCCCATCCTGGGTGACACCCCTCCTGTAAGCAGAAGTCAGCTATTGTGCTGAAACGGAAGACGTTGTTTTCTGAAACATAACGTCATACGATTAGCGCTGACCTTATCTTTGTTTCCCAAAGAGACGTTAATGCCGTCTTGTTTTGTTTCAGCCTGGAAGCAGCGATGGTGGTGCTGCCGCTGCTGCTCCAATGGCGGGGATCCCTTTCCGAAGGCAGAACCGCCCCAAGGCCAACTTGATGCCCGCTGAGCTGCCCGAAGAGGAAACGAAAAGGATTGCGAGAATATTTTCTGCACGGTTCTCTAAAAAAACATAGCAGGGGAACCGGGCAGTGGCTCAAACCGGGGACCCTGCTAGGAAAGGCTGCCTTCCCGGGATCTGCCCTAAGCTGGGACTCCCTTGGGGGCCTCTGAGCCAAAGGGCAGCTGGCACCTGCCCGATTCCCCGTCGTTGGCTCACGAGTTCTCTGCCTGGTGTTAAAAAGGAAGACTTGTTTGGATGTTGTTTACAGAAGAAATGGCGGACCCTCTTTGCTCAATCCACAGGTCATGCCCACCCATCTCGTCCTCCAAGGGTTTACAAAACTAATCAAATCAGCCAAGTCATGACGTTATAGGTAGGAACAGCAAACATGTGCACCTTGAGTCGAGGGCTGGGCTCAGGGTAACGTTATGCCCTGGACTAAGAGCCTGTCCCGCTTTGTTTAGCTTGTTCTTCCTTTCAACTCAGGTTCCTAAATCACTTCGTCAGCGTGAGAACCGCAACCGTCCCATTTTTTTCCACATTGCCAAGGGCTACTGAAAGCCCTGCATGTCCCAAGAGCTCTCTCTGAGCAGGGAGAATGCAGGCTTCCACAGATCTAAGCTGCTTCCGGGCGGGGGGCTGTAGTCTGGCCCAGGGCTTGACGGGTTTTGCCCCCTAGCAGCATCCGAAGGGGCAGCAATAGGGCAGCTTCCCTGCCCTTTAAGTAAGGGGGACGCCAGGCCTCCAGCCTCTTCCCTCTCCAGAAAGCCAGCCCCTCCAGTTCCCTCTTGCTTTACGGGACTGGGCAGAAAAACAACAAGAATTAAATCTCCCACGCTTGCACCCCTCCCACTTTCAGTTTAGGGATCATCCACTGTTTTGGGGGCCACCGCTCCCCCCCAATCCCTGAACATGGGTTCTGCTGGCAATTGTGGGCTGAAACATCTGGCAGGCCATTGTTGCCAACCCCTGGTCTAATCTGTATACATAGTTTGAGTTTTTGTTAATACCAGTTTTGACTTCTTTTTTTGTCGGTATTTATATATCCCAACCAACCATGGAAAAATACCAGTTCATATAGAAGCACTTTTCTTGGCAGAAAGATGTGGAAGATAAAAATCTAGCAGGAGAGGTGAATGCTGTCGTTTTGTTTTTCTGTTTACAGTCCTTTCTTACGCAACCCTGAAGGGAAACCTTGACAAGGGAGTGGGTGGAATGGCAGATCGGTTCTGGATTTCGCCTTTCCCCAGAACTGTACCCTCTCTCTTAGGCACTAATCTGATGTGTATCTGGATACCCTTGCCAACGTGTGAAATGGCAATGTAAGGACGCTGGTTCCAGTCTAAAGCTGCTCAGGGACGCTGATAAACACGCACTGTTTTTATGGGAAGTGGGGCCACTCTCTTCGGTGAGAGCTGTGGTTGTGAGTATCCTCCTCCCCACCCCCCAATCCGACAGAAGGGGCTTCCTCAGATGCAGTGACTTAGACACATGGCACGCCACAGTGCATTCACAGTAAACCAGGAATCTGCTGATACAATGATTCCGTGTGGGTGGGTTTTTTTTAAAAGAGTGTGTGTTCTTGTAAATATAAATTATTTTTGTATTTGCATGTATAATAATCATTTTAAGTCAATTTTTTAAAATCTCATCCAACTTTGAAGAGCTGCAATTCCAAATGGAAGCCCTGTTGATTTACTTGTAAAGATGTCTTGTTTTTTTACAGATTTGATTCTCTTTTTTTAACAATAAAATGGCCTTTATCTTTTTTTGATGCCATGTCTGTTTCTTTGATCCTCGCCTAAAGTTTTCATGCCCCGTTCCCTCTAGAAGGCTAAAACAACTTCTCACTGGCACAGAAGATGTCACAAAGCAGGTAACACAGCCTATGGGAGAAGTCAAAGGATGATCCGTCCGTTTCTGCTTCCTGCCTGAGCAGAATCAAGAACACAAGAACAGGCCCAACCTAGCTGGGAATAATGTGCCCTTGAAAACCCCCCAGGTTGGACAAAGCCAGACTAGATGGAACATTTGCTGACCCAGTGCAAAACAATCCTTTATTAGGGTTGTTGTGGGTTTTTCAAGCTCTTAGGCCATGTTCTGAAGGTTGTTCTTCCTAACGTTTCTCCAGTCTCTGTGGCCAGCATCTTCAGAGGACAAGAATCAGAACTCTGTCTGTGCTCTGGTCCTTTATTATTCGGTTAACCTTGTCAGGCTTGTGTTCCATGACCCATAAAAAGAGATCTCTGTTGCAACCGGGACAGTCTCTCAACAAGTTGCAATTTCCCACGCTGCCAGGCGTGCGCTCGCCCACCCGCCCACGCACCCAGTTGCTTCTCTCTTCTGCTTTGCGTGGCCATGCCCTTAAGCAAAACGTAAGGGATGGGCCAGATGGCAAACGGGGAGCTGCTAATGCTCGTCACAGCTGGGTAGTGCCAGTCTCTTGCGGCCCCCTCGATGCACTCTCTGGTTCTTCTTGTTCCTTGTTCAGATGGTGGTGTGGTTTGACTTTTCTGCTTCATCGGAGGGCAAGGCGGGATGATTGCACCGATGCTATCAAGTCCCTTGACGTTCCGTAAACAAGTGACGTACGGCTTCTGAACTGAATGTTCTGGGAATCCACAAAGAGGCTGACCGGCCACACTTCGGACAGAGACCCTTCTTCTGCCTTGTGATGGCGAAGCTCGGCTTCAAAAGACAGCCTTGTCTTCAAAACAGGGTCAGCTCCGATTCCAGCTGCAGTCGGCTCGGACTCTCCTGAGTTCTATCGGTCTCTGTATCTGGAAGTCTTGATGATAATAATAATAACCAAGTGCCATCAAGTCAATTCTGATTTATGGTGCCCCTTGCCAGTGTTTCCTAGGTCGAGAAGGCTCCGAAGCTGTTCCCCATCCCCTTCTTCTGGGGTCAGCCTTGAGACTAATATGCAGCTTGCCCAAATCTACCCAGGCTGGATCTTCTTCCTGGGGAGGCCCAGTGGGGGAATCACACTCCCAATTCCTGGCTTCACAGCCAGATGCCTGAAACCACTGAGCTGCCTAGGCACCTTGTATCTGCAAAGTGGTAGGATCTAAAATGGGCTGGACAGAAGATGGGAAGCCCTGGGAGCTGTGGTTGCATGGAGTTGGAGAAACCCCAGTTTGGGAGGGGAGGGGGCTCGCTGTTGGCCCTGCAATGCAAACTGCAAGCCAGCTACGTTCAGTACGAGAAGAGGGAGCTTTGCACGAACCCATCGGCTTAAAGGCACACCAGTCTCCAGAAAAGGACTTTTCTCCAGAACAGTTGGTTTTATGTCCAGGTTAACTCAGGCCAGCCAGCAGCATGCATCCTACTCCAACGTCTACATGTTTGCAACTCGACAGAGGATAGCCCATTTGGCTGCTGACTGGATAGACAGCCTGCATTAGAAGCCCTTATTGGTGTTTGTGCAATTTGAATGATGACCTATTTCTCTGTGATAATCCGATAGGATATCCTTTCAGGGATGTAAGCAAGATGGCAGAAGGTGGGAGGACCTATTTCTCTGTGATAATCCGATAGGATTTCCTTTCAAGGATGTAAGCAACATGGCAGAAAGTGGGAGGAGAGGCAGACCAGGAAAAAAATGATT